ATTGTTGTCACCCCATTTTGTTTATATTTGTCACGGCCTCGTGTCTAATTCTGTAAACCGTCCCTGATCCTCTGATTTAACATCAAATCCCTTGTCAAAAAAGTTGTTGTTGTTTTAATATAATTAGTGCTTAGGGCAACAGGTATCACCAGTGAAGATATTTATGAAGTAGCTATGTTGTTGGTAGATAGGATATATTGGTAGTAACAGCAGTTTTCCTTTTCACAAGATATAAACACCATGTGTATAGCTCTTGGTATATTTACATTGACTGGTGAACAGGGGGGGACATGCAGCCTAAGTTCCCCCCCCCGTATAGTCGATAGGCTTTAACCCCATTTAACCAACCCTCTTCTCTCCATCTTCGCTCTGTTTCTTTCTTGATCTTCTCCCTCTTGGCCTTTCTCCCTCATCCCCTTCCTCTTTCTCGCCTCATTACTCTTCCTCCAGATTCATGAAGTGCCTCAGCATTAAGCTCGCTTCCCTTGCCATTAGTGATGCTTCACACATCAAGTCATGACTTGATGAAGGTCTAGACAGAGTCAAGAAGAGACAGAGCTCTACACATGACGCGATAAAGCTTTACGCAGGTATAGGTTGTATCAACAAAACTTGTTCCGCAGCCAGTGTTTATCTTCATACTTCTCGTCAGTATGCCATACCATCCATGGAAGGACAACCACCGTCACTGTCGTAATTCAGGGAGACAGAGCTAGTTTTTGTTAAAGCCACGTTTCACTTAGTGTAAATCCTTATATGTTACATGATAAAGCTCACACTGGAATAAACGTGACTTTAATAAATGTGATATACAAAAAATATACACTCCTCTCGATGTCATACACTGATAGTATTTGTAGACGGTATCCCCTTTATTGTGTGCGGAGTGGGGAGGTCGCTTTAAAGGTCTCCTGATCCAAGGAAGTGAAGCTTCCCTACCGTTCTTGGATTAAATCTAATTACCTCTCGTTCCCTAGGCGGTGTAAGACGGGATTTTGCGCTTACCCATAATATAATAATCTTGGTAGACAGTGTATCTGTTGCGTGGGATGCATGGGACAGGAGAGAGGGAGGGAGTAGGGAGAGGGAGGATGTAATGTAGAGAGAGAGAATGGGAGGGTAGGTAGAGAGGGAGGGAGGTAGGGAGAGAGAGAAGGAAATTGGGGAGAGAGGAGGAGGTAGGGAGAGAGAGGCAGCAGTACAATAACTGTAGGTGGTGTGGGGGCAGAGATAATGTGTGTACAGTCTCACCCTGATAACCTACCTTATCTCCTGAATGTCCTCACACTACGCATTATGAATATATATATATATATACACAGGTATGTATGTGTCCTAAACGAGTGTTCTCTCACTTAGCAGCAAGCCAATTCTAAGAGAGAACAAACTTAAAACTTCAGGGGGCGCGATATATCTGAATATTTCGGCTTGGCTACGATACTGGAGTCATGGGTTCCAGTCACACACGTCAGCTATGCTATATTGTGTATTATATATATAATATTATATATATAATTATATATATATATATATATATATATATATTATATATATAATATAATATATATAATATATATATATAGGTGTAATGATTCAGAGTTGAAATTACTTTTTTTAATAATATTCGTAAAAGATGAAATGCGCAAACCACTAGAAAATATGTATAAAGAAAATTAGACCCTCCGTGTTAATTGTTTCATCTTACCTTCCTGAGAGAAGTTATTTTCATGTTTTATACTAGGAGCAAACAGGGAATGAGCATCCTCCTCACCTCCCTTCATATAAACACCATGTGACTAGAGAACAAGAGAGAATAACAGAGAACACGAGGGAACGGAGAACAATACACACCAGATAACAGAACTTTATTGTTCTTACCTGAACCGATCCCAACACAATATTAGCTACACTTATTTCTTGTTTATTTCACTTAATCGAATTATCCTAGTTCAATTCTCCAAAAATTTTTCTATATAAACCTTTACATATTTACATTGAAAAAACCTATATAAACACTTACTTGTTTTTGTGTGTGCACGTGAGATGGACATAAACACAAGATTTTTTGTATCAGATAAAACAATCACAACTGCCTTTCTCAGGGTCAAGATATAGGTGGTAACCACACACGAATATATATACAGATCTGTAAAAATGTTGGGAAGGAATATCCCTAACTAGGAATCCCTAGTGTCCAAGTGAGAGCGTGTGTGTGCGCGAACACACACCTTGGGGGTACTAAAATGGCCTGCACACACTGCGATCAGTTTATGAGGTGTGTTATCACTGATTCAACACCCCTGTCCTGCTGTATTACTCAAACTCTCTTTATCTTTCCCAGTGTACTTTCTCTAGTAGTTTACCCTGCCTTTCCCAGTGTACTTTCTCCTAGTAGCTATCTGCCTTCCCAGTGTACTTTCTCTAGTAGCTATCTACCTTTTCCAGTGTACTTTCTCTAGTAGCTATCTGCCTTTCCCTTGTACTTTCTCTAGTAGCTATCTGCCTTTTTCCAGTGTACTTTCTCTAGTACTATCTGCCTTTCCGGTGTACTTTCTCTAGTAGCTATCTGCCTTTCCCAGTGTACTTTCTCTAGTAAGCTATCTGCCTTTCCAGTGTACTTTCTCTAGTAGCTATCTGCCTTTCCCAGTGTACTTTCTCTAGGTAGCTATCTGCCTTTCCCAGTGTACTTTCTCTAGTAGCTATCTGCCTTTTTCCAGTGTACTTTCTCTAGTAGCTATCTGCCTTTCCCAGTGACTTCTTCTAGTAGCTATCTGCCTTTCCCAGTGTACTTTCTCTAGTAGCTATCTGTCTTTCCCAGTGTACTTTCTCTAGTAGCTATCTGCCTTTTCCCAGTGTACTTTCTCTCTAGTAGCTATCTCCCTTTTTCCCGGTGTACTTTCCCCTAGTAGCTATCGCCTTTCCAGTGTACTTTCTCTAGTAGCTATCTGCCTTTCCCAGTGTACTTTTCTCTATAGTTATCTGCCTTTCCCAGTGTACTTTCTCTAGTAGCTTTTCTGCCTTTCCAGTGTACTTTCTCTAGTAGCTATCTCCCTTTTCCCAGTGTACTTTCTCTAGTAGCTATCTGCCTTTCCCAGTGTACTTTCTCTAGTAGCTATTTGCTTTTTCCCAGTGTACTTTCTCTAGTAGCTATCTCCCTTTTCCCAGTGTACTTTCTCTAAGTAGCTATCTGCCCTTTTCCATGTACCTTTCCCTTTTAGAAAGCTATCTGCCTTTCCAGTGTACTTTCTCTAGTAGCTATCTGCCTTTCCAGTGTACTTTCTCTAGTAGCTATCTCCCTTTTCCCCAGTGTACTTTCTCTAGTAGCTATCTGCTTTTCCCAGTGTACTTTCTCTAGTAGCTATCTGCCTTTCCCAGGTACTTTCTCTAGTAGCTATCTGCCTTTTCCAGTGTACTTTATCTAGTAGCTATCTGCCTTTCCCAGTGTAACTTTCTCTAGTAGCTATCTGCCTTTCCGTGTACTTTCTCTAGTAGCTATCCCCTTTTTCCGGGTGTACTTTCTCTAGTAGCTATTGCCTTTCCCAGTGTACTTTCTCTAGTTAGCTATCTGCCTTTCCAGGTACTTTTCTCTAAGTAGCTATCCTGCTTTTTCCCAGTGTACTTTCTCTAGTAGCTATCTGCCT